AAACCGTAAATAAAATGAATCAGGAAAACAGAGAAAATTAGATGATATCTAGTCATTCTGTCCTGTTATGCCCAAATAAGAAAGGAAACTACCCTAGTATTTGACAAACAAATCTTGTCGTCTTTTCAAGCGAAATGCAATTTTTCCCAAAGGTATATCAGATGATACTTCTTTAATCCACATAGAGGTAGAAGGTGGTTTAGAATCCTTCCATTTTAAAGTTATACATTTTATGGCCACTAGGAGGGCTAGCCTAACAAATCTCAATTTAACCCTTTGTTGATCGAGTAGTGTGGTGGTCCTTTTTTAAATTCATACATTTTTGTAGAAATTTCGCTGATGTGACCTCACCTTAACATGCTACTTTTACTATCCCTAAAGTTGTAATATGTGTACTGTGCACTGTATACAGATACCCAGACAACCTAGTACATTTGGTAATTGCTTAGGTAACAACAAAGCACACTGCATAAAATACTGTATCCCACAATGCAAGGTGCTTGTCTTGACCACCTATTCCCAGTATGATAAACGAAATGGAGGTAGATACTGCTGTTTTTATTTTAGTGGACTACAAAAAATAACATTTTTGCTTTCACAATGATAGTAATGTGATAACAGTGTAGTATACTACTTTTTGAAACATTTGTAAGTGTATAATGCTTAATCTTATGCATACTATTTGTAGTAGTAGTCAGTATACACAGTGTATACTGTTTAGTATTTAGTAAGGAGTATTCCAGTATTGCTCTGCATAGTTTGTACACTATACTCTTCATTTATCATCTTTCTTAGTGGAGTTCACAGCTCCTAATTTACATAATTGTGATGTATATATCTGCAAATGTATATAAGGAGAGACTGCAGAAGAATGGAATAAGAAGAAATAAAGTGACTCCGATTGCATTTCACAGAAAGAAAACGAAGCGGGACGGAAGAAGGGAGGTTGAGCAAGAGGGGTCCACCGTGGGAGCTGATAGTCAATGGTGTTAGTCAGTCGTCTTGATTTGGTCTCCTCACATACATCTGTCTGCATTCCACACCGCACACAAACTCTCACAGCGTCTGATGCTTAGTCATATAGCCTTGGTTCCCCTGTGTGTGAACACTCATGATTATTTTTGTAATAATCATCCTACACTCTCACTCTGACTCACTGAGTCGGAGTCTAACACAGGTTGTTATCTTTAGTGTGTTATGTGTATAAAATAATCAGTTTCCTGTTTAGCCTACGCTGCATCAAGACCTCATCTGGTGTCCGAGACGGGATCTCGCTTGTATTAGAGTTGGCTTTTTCAGGGTGTTTATGTGCGTTCAAAGTGAGGCAGGAAATAAGGCAGGATGTGTCTCTCAGGAGACTGCATTAGGACTGCATTACACACAAAAAAACTTGACTGGAACACCCTGCTTTAGTTTATTATAGTTTGAGTTGTTTTTAATAATCTTGTAGGGGTCGGAGACAGCCTGGCAGTAAGTGCACATCCTCCAGCAATTTGCCTCATGCTGCGCAAGTTCAAATCTGGATCATGATCATTTCCGGTCAATAAAAATGAGCAAATAGATCTAAATAAAAGCTTTATGGATTCATTTTACTTTTAATGTAAAGTGGGAATGAATGTGTTGTCTTTCTAGTGGTAACCTACTCAAAACGTTCAGTCCACCAGCATGAGGTGCAATCAATAACGTTGACATGTTTACGGATGGATGGATGTTTAATTTGCCCAGTTTATTCTGTTATATAAACTCTACATGTGAAAACACTTGAGTATGAGGTGATTTTATTCAGCTTTCATATGCCTTCTACAGTCTAAAAATGGCACTCACATATGTGTGCATTTGGTTTTTCAGGGACGATGCTGCTAGCTTTCACTTGTCCAAAAATGCATAAATAGAGGCAACAGAAGCTGACAGTGTGTATCTTTCTGTCTCTCTGAGATTACGTAACGTACGTGTTCAGTCAGATGTCTGGTAGGGTTACATAAGAACTAATGAGAGAGCTTTCACTTTCTGCCCAGGAGGATGAGGTGTGTGTGT